CTCTTTTAGCGTCATGTCTTCGTCATGTTATCGAACAGGGGAGGCATCCTCGTATGCCGCTATTCGCACAATTTTCATGTTTGCTGAGGTTCACCTGGCACCCCCTTTGGGCTGAAAATATCTTTGAATTTCAACGTATTACTATAGAGGGGACACAACATCTGTTAGTTACTTTTGTCTCATAACGAGACACCCCATTTTTAAAACCCTGGATACACTAAATAAGCTAAAATATCATGTAACCAGGATCGTTCATGGCTTTGGTACAAATTATTGCTAGTTCTTTGTCTATATTTTGATCAATATAAATGATGTTTTGTTCATATCAAATCAACCCCAGAATGAAATCAGTTTTAGCGGAGCTCTCCCGCGCGCGAAGCGCCCGCAACGGAGCACCATGCATAAGAAAATTTGAATAATAATAGTAATAATAATAATAATAATAATAATAATAATAATAACAATCCTTATACAGGGAGCTTCACAAAGAGTGATATTTAGTGAGGCCCTGTACGCATCCGCATCCGATAAATTTTGGTAGTCACGTCACCATACGCGCTCCGTCCGGACCACAGAATAATCAATATGAAGTGACCTTTTTTATATTTAAGTGGAGCCTGCACCCTGAACGGTTTAACTTGATGATAGACGTCTATGTTACGGTCATCTTAGCCACCCGGACTTTTAGAGAGACAAAAACAACAACAAACCCGCGACTCTTTTTCGTCAAAGATTTATTTTTTAGGCTGATGTGGATAGCATGGAAAGAGCTAGAGCAATAGACTTTCTCAAAGTCCTTCACTTCTCATTTCCGGTTCCGGTAATTGGCCCCTAGCGCGAAGGAGTTTTATCCCCCGCAGCGGGACAAATTTACAGGAGCAATTTTCCTCCTGTAGGTTTTATCTATCACGAACGGTTTTACTGATGCACCGTCAATCAAACCCGATCACACCAAACGTGACTTGAACTGTTTTGATCCAAATTCAATTGAACCGTGTATTTTTTGCGGGCTGTATTTCGATTTGCTTTTATCGCCTGTATTCAAATACAAAGCTTTGGTGGGTGTTTTATCCTCCTCCATTTGAGTAATTTACCAAGGTCGGATTTTCCTGGCAGCCACGAGGCGAAAAAACATTACCAACTTGTTTTGTCACGGGTGGCTCAAGCGTAATATTAGACAATAGAGGTTAAAACTTAGATGAAATAAATGAAGTAAAAGCGATAAAAGTTATCAATAAAGTGTAAATATTGTTACCTGGAGTCGTTGTCTTTGTTTATACGAAGTTTCAGCGCGATTTGAGTACTTTTACATCATCTGACCTGACAGTGTAATAATAAGAGACTAATATTGCACTGTCAGGTCAGATGATGTAAAAGTACTCAAATCGCGCTGAAACTTCGTATAAACAAAGACAACGACTCCAGGTAACAATATTTACACTTTATTGATAACTTTTATCGCATTACTTCATTTATTTCATCTAAGTTTTAAACTCTATTCTCTCATATATAACTCTCATATATAACTCTATTTTTCCCATACAAACTCTCATATTACGCTTGGGCCACCTGCAGTTTTGTTTTGAGTGCGCGCACTACAAAGCTTTTATTTTCTTAAGTTCTCTTTCATGGCGTATGGAAAGCTTGCAACGAGCCCGAAACCGGTCTGGAGACTGAACTCACAAATATCACAAGACCGCACTTTTGTTCATTACCCGTTTTTGTATTGAGTCGGACTATTGAACATTCCTTTATTTACTTTACTCACTTTCTCTTATCGGAATTTTTCCGTTATTTGTTTGTTTTGACATACTTTGACAGCTCGCGACAACACCGTGCACACACGACAACACACGCGACAGTAGCCTGTGCCAGGCTCTCAGATAGTATACGTAGTGGGAACGTATTAAAAGCGAAATTAAGACGGGCACGACTTGGGAAAGAGGGCGGTGGCGGCGGGAAAAAAGGTTTCCAATTTCAAATGCAAATTAGTTACTAGGGTGACAATTAGCACTTACGCGACGGGTGCAAGGACAGAAATGACCCGTTAACTAAGCTGCTCGCCCCACCTCGCCACCCTAACAACTAATTTGCATTTGAAATTGGAAACCTTGGTAAGCGCGACAGTGGTCACAGGCACTGCACGAAAGCCAGACTTGCCTCGAAGTCCGGCACAAATGGCTCGATTTGATGGGGAAATTATGGATTTTTTTTCGAGCCGATCTCCCAGAGAGGAAGAATAGGTTTCCTTCTTGGGCTGGAGCTGAAAAATTCGCAGCGGATTTGAATTTCGGCGAAAAAAACGGCATTGTTTTTGCGACTGGTCCAGGACCCCTACAGATGGAAGTGACCAGCCTTCACTTCGTTCTATGAAAGGAGTAACAGTGGTTACGCAATAAAGCCAAAAAAACAGTAAAACGACAAACAGACACCAAACCGCAGCGGAATAGATTGCAGGTAAGCCTTTTTTATTTATTTCATTTAAGAAAAAGTAAGGTTTAGCGTTATTTGGCGTTCGCAGATCTTAGTAATATATTTCCTATACAATGTCTCTTATATTTTCAACGGTCGCCTGTAACGCGACACTGGCACGTCACATATGTTATGTAAATTACATTTCACCTTCCCTCGCAACGTGAGTTTGGGCCGCCTGTGTCTCCACGCGCCTCCACGCGAAGCGCTATAAATTTCAGAATAATCGAGGAATCCGCTCCAAATTGTCATTGGCTAATCTGCAGGTAACGTGTGCTCGGGCTTCTTGTTTGCTGGCTCCACAAAACCCATTGCAACTGCACGATAATTGCTCGCTCATCAACAAACACTGTTGACCTTTATGCTTCGCCATGACCCTAGCCTGTGAACAGGCCTTTGGTCGTTCACAGGCTACCATAACCCCAAACTGGCTTATTTTCATCCGCCCAACTGACGTTGACAGATTAATGATTCGTACACAAAGTAAGGGTTAGGGTCAGGGCGGGTTGTTTTACTTGTTTTTTTGCCGTTCGCAATGCCGTCATCGTTTAGCATTAAACGAGTGTGTCAGTAAATTATAACTATATTAACAAGAGTTTCGCTTTTACCCCAGCTAAATCTATATATTATTTGTTAGTGGGACACCTTGCCCCCCTGACAGGAAAATTAGATACAACCCCCCTTCTTGAAAGAAAAATTTACTTGTTGTCCCTGCTCCTTTGGGCTATGATTTTACATGGTGCCCCCTCTGATTTTACAGCGGCCCTACTCCTCCTGGTAATTATTGCACAGCCCCCCTATTGAGCGCTGGTCTTAAGCGGTTGGCTTTGTCACATTCATTCCCTACACATAAGTTTGAAGGGAGCGAGGAGTAAAGGAGCTCGTGACATTGGGTGGACATTAAAAGAGTAAGGGAAGTAAGCTACAATGTAATCGCCTGGGTGAAGTGAGATCAAACATGGAATGAAGCAGGTGCATAGTGCACCGATTAAACCAGTCTGTTCCCTCCAAATATTCAGAAGACACACCTTCAATTTTGCAAACGGTACTTAGAGGTAAACAACAAAGCTTCTAATATATCTTGTAGAGCAGACTCTTGGTCGCTTTCCTTTAAAAATCACTATCAATCAAAAAATTTTCAAATACATTTTGTATATTCAGTCTAAAGATGAGGAGTCTTTCGTCAAACAATCTCTTTTAATGTCATTTGACTTACACTGTGATGGCAAAAAAAAGCTTCCACTCTCATTTGATGAATATGTCAGAATATTTTAACCTACCTGACTTAAATCCTGATTTATTAGATATAGCTATGGTAAAAAGGTATGTAAGTTCAGTGAAACAGGAATGTATCTCATATTTAATTGGCCAAACACCCTTCAACATTCTCAAAAACGTTTATAGATCTTTTAAAACCGATCGTACCACCTCTAATCACTTAGACTTAACACTAGGAACAGCTGGGAGAAGGGCTTTAGTAAAACTTCGAATAAGTAATCACAAACTAATGATAGAATTCGGTAGATACAATCAAACTACGAAGGATAATAGCCATTGCCTTTTTTGTGGATCCAGTCTAATAGAAGACGACGTTCAAATACAAACAGTGTCATTACAAAACGTTTTTCAATCGCGATTTCCATTAGGTACCTTTTCAATTATCGTGATAGAATTCTTAAGCAACAAGGACGGCGACGGCTACGAAAACGTCACTTATAGTGGATTTCAACGTAAATATTACACGCGTCAATAATATAGAGATGATGTATGAAAGGTAACTCATAAACGCAAAAGTTGAGCGAGGTTCAACTTTTACGTTTACACTTGATCTTCAATAGGCATTGCCTTACTTTTATCAATTGTCCGTGAGTCATTCCACCTCATTGTATAATATAGGTCTAATAAGAAAGTTCTCGTTGTTTCTAGGAAGGCTTCAAATAACACAGATGACGATGGCCAGGGCCTACATTAGCAAGGTATCGAAGTGGATCAGTTACCTCCCAAGACTATTGTTGACAAAAGATTTTTCCTAGTGAGTGAGTCATTATTTAGTAGTACACCTAATTGCAATAACATGCAAAAAGAAAAAAATAAGAATTAGGTAAAATTACTAACAAATCCATACATTGTTTTACGCCGTAAAAACCAAGCCTATACTGCAAATGAATGCACCCTAGAGTGATTTATAAGCAATCCTTTTTACACTTTTCCTTCTAGCATTTTTCTAAGACAAAGTTATTGCAATTAGGTGTATCCATTTGCTGTTTAAGGTCTTACACAGTCGTACAAAAAAAATTCCCCGCTAAAAAAATAATTCCAGGGCGACTCTACAGTAAAATGAACTAAACATTTTGTCAAAAGGTAAATCTATTTTACTGTGGCGATCACTGGTGTAAAATTAATTCAACTAACGCAAAACTGTCAAGGGAACAAGACAGCGCCAGTCTCGTCCTTTGTAAATTAGCCCGTTGTAAAACCTTTTTAGAAAAAGAAAAATAATGGTCTCTCCCACACTATTTTAACGGCTATCATTTTGTTGTGCCGTAGCAATTGAGTTTCCCAAGAGTGTGGTATCCCACAGCGACCGAGCTGCCTGCATCCCCAAACCTGAGCTGTTTCACTGGAAGCTTTGTCTTGTCAGTCAGGAGACCGCTGTCTTCACGCCATACACCGTCATCCTTATCACAATTACAGCCAAGACTGGAGTCTGCGCACGAGTTGGTCATCCCGCATGCGCACTTACCACTGACAGATGCTCCACCCCAATACGTCATCTTGGTAGAATCCCGTGACACCCACCAAGCGTATCCACCGTACCCGAACATAATTGACTGGTGGCACTCGTACTTGATAAACTGTTCACAGTATAAAGAGACTCTGGTGAGACTCGCCAGCTGAGAGAGACTCGCTCCAGTGTAATGGATGTCACGTGAGTAGCTACCTCGACCTCCCCAACCGAGACCATCACGCACCTTTGTTCTGGTCTCACTGTCGTGACTGATGACTGTCACACCAACACCATTCTTGTCAGCCATATCACAATATACAGTAAAGGGTGCCTGGCCTCCCATACCGTCTGGATCAATGACATAATTTCCGCTTACACTGCTAACGTGTTTTCTAATCACAGAACAGGAAGAAGCAACTGGAGAATTAATTTTGACTTTAGCTTCTATTGTTGTAAGAGCATTGGTCGCCCTACAAGTGTAAGATCCTTGGTGTGATTTTTTGATGTTAGCCAGAACTAGAGTCCCGTTCCTATGAACATTAGAGGTTTCAGGAAGTGAGGACATTCCGTCTTTTTTCCAAGTAATTGACGGTCTCAGATCACTCTCGGCCACACATGGAAAGCGAATAGTGTAACCAGTCAAAGGAGTCACCACTCGGGGAGGTAGGACTATAAAACGCAGAGGAGAGAATACCATAAGAAGAACCGTGTCTGACACTGATCCAAGAATGTTCTCTGCCCTACAAATATATATTCCCCTGTCCTTCTTAGTTACATTGTAGATCGTCAGAGTACCGTGTACCACTTTATTTCTTCCTTTCGGCAAAGAACCGACCGACTTAGACCACCTGATACTGGGTTGCGGCTGACCAGTGGCAGTGCAGACGATAGTAATGTTTTGTTCCTCCTCTGTCATTAATGTTTGAGATGACAAAGAGATCTGAGGAGTAACTGCCAAAAAAAATAAATCATGAAAAAATATATATATTGCACTCAGCATCCATGTAAATTGTAGTAAAACAGGTTTAGCCCTGCTATGTACAAACCCTCTGGGTCGAATATGTAATAGAGGTCTAACTTAGAACGCGGTGCAAGAAATCATTGGACTTCCAAATCTCTTCCAAACTGGGTTATTTTCAGAAGATAAAAATGTTCCTTTCGTCCAACCTCCATGAACCTCCATGAACGGAGTCAAGATAAAAGCATTGGGCAAAGTGTTTTTAAAATAACAGCCCCTTTGCTTTCAAGCAGTAAATGTTCAGAAGGTCCCGAACGTTTTATGAATGCCATCAAATAAAACATGGGGATTAAAGACCTCGCGGGAGATGAAGAGATACAAATGAATTATTTCTTTCTGTAATGAAAAAGCAAAACATAGACAATAATAAACGTAAGAAGATTTTTCTGCTATGTGATATTGCAGTGTTTATCTCCTTTTATTTGTCACATATACCTTTTCATTAACGCGATGTGCCATCAACTTTATTACAAAAATGGGTCTATAATTAAAGGCCATATAATAACTATGCTTCAAGGACGGAGAGCTAGGGAAAAAGAGGGGCAATGTCTACTCAAGTGGCGTGCTTTGCAGGCCAGATCCTAGCAAATATGACTATAAATGGTAAGGACTAAGAAAAATGGGACGATAATTGCTAAATATAAACTTACAATGAACAATAAGTTTCGCTGTAGCGTTCACGTTGCCCAGGAAATTTTCAGCTCTGCAGCTGTAGTCGCCCTCGTCTCCAGGCCTAACGTCTTTCACAGTCAAAGCGCCACTGGACTCCACAACATGGCGCCCCACAGGAAGTGATGAGTTCATTTTAGACCATGTGACTTTCGGTGATGGATTTCCGTCGGCTGTACATTTTAAGATGGCTGTCTGACTTTCATTGACTGTGGTTTCCACAGGACGCTGCAGCAGAGATGGAGCTGAGATGGACTGGCCCGGCTCACCTTTTACGCCTTTCTGGCCTGGCGGGCCTCGAGGCCCCACGGGACCAGGGTCACCCGGAACTCCAAGATCCCCCTTTATACCCATTAGCCCTGGATGTCCTATTGGTCCATGTTTACCAGGAGGCCCCTCAGGCCCGGGTCTTCCAGGGGGACCTGGTCTTCCTCGGATACCAGGCCTTCCTCGTCGTCCTGTGCTGCCTTTTGGTCCCGAGCGGCAAAGCGTTTCATCTTTAGCACAGATTTGGTTCTGTAAAAGTCGAAGTTCTTCTTTAATCAGCATTTTTACATTGGAGGTTGTTTGTGCGGATTTCTGTTGTGATTTAACAGGCAATGCACGCTTTTGTCTTGAGTTGATGACTTCCGGGCCTTGAAAAATAGCAAAAAAAAATCAAAATAAAGTTAACAATGAAAACGTAAAAATATGGTATTGCCCCCGAAAGATTGCTTTCTCTCCATGAAAGATATTTTTTTGTCCTTTACAGTTACTTAAATTATCCGTGTTCCATAACACATAAGACACATTGGTTCAAAAACAAAACTTGGGAATGACTGCTCCTTTTGGCTCAAACATAACCTCATCATTAATATCCTTTACAAACCTACCCGTTGTCTGCTCTCTTTGACCCGATAAATGGCTTCCTTTCGTAATTTGCCAATCTTTGTTATTCTGCTGAATGTTTTGAAGAATGTGTTTCTCCATCTGGCCACAGTATGTTACTGAAGATGATATCAGTCGATGATGCTCTTGTATTCTGAGTTCCACGTGAATCAGTGCGATGCAACATACAACAGACAACAGCAAAGCTGACTTGCAACTCAAGCTGTCCACTGTTTGTCTTCTACTCGCTCCGTTCTCTTCTTTCCTTGCCGATTGCTTCATTTTTTTGCCGTGACAGCTACTAACTTTAAACATTAACTGAATCAAATAGAGTATTTGATTTACTTGTAAACCGAAACCATTCAGCTGATTCAGTAATTCGTCTCGGGTTCTAATAAAGAACTGTCCTTTGCAAAATGTTTAACTTGTCTCTACGTGCTCTGGTCCTCAAGCAAAAACAGGAAGTAAGTATCAAATTTACTGAGGTCAAACGTGTTTCAAATTGCAAAAAAAACTAGAATATTTGGTGCATCATATCGCCTGTCAGGAGAAGTAGTGGATTATGGGTGACCGATCTAATAACTCTTATTAACAGTGATAGAACGTGTGGGCACGGAGGGGGGAGTGGCTCGCTTTGTGGTGTAAATTGCAGATTTTGTGTCTGGGATGGAAAGTCACTATATTTGCGCATTCAGATATCGCTTAGGACTGTGCGTAAGGAAATTTACAAAAAGTGCCCAGGCACTGACCACACAAAAATCTCCTATTTAGAGGCCAGTCTAGTTTAAGCTCGAGCCGCTCCCACATTGGTCTCCTTTAAGGGTTTAATTTGAGCTTTCCGTTGAGCATCCCCGTTAATTTTGTATGGGAGTCCCCCCACCGCCCCTGGGCGCGTTGGTTAGAGAAAGGAGGGGTTATACAGCAGATCAATGAAGCGAATATGTAAAATCGGTTTCAATTGACCTTGGTAACAGGTGACTGATTTCAGGTAAACTACACTTCATAGAGGTTGTAATGCATATAGCTAATGCATGTCGATGGGCAAAGGGTGGTGCGGTATATAAACGAACTTCCTGTTTAAATTTGTTTTGCCGGTTTGAATGGGCGTTACTCTTTGGAGTTTAAGTTGTACCAAGAGAGATGGGTTGTATTCCTGAATAGATCTGAACGCTTACTAACTTACAGAGATTTAATAAGCATTAACAAGAAATAGTACTGCTAGCATCAATTAATAAGTCAAATAAACTGAATCTGGGTTGAGAGGTTCAGTAGAGGGTCTTAAGTCAAGTTGCGCTATAGACGCGGTTAGTGCTGATGGAAAGGCTTTCAATAGTATTGACTCTCTTGTCTCATTATCGTCCATTGTCCTCATCTATAAATGATTTTTATGAATGAATTTCTATTTGTCGTATAAACTATTAACGTTTTTAAACGAGTTTTATATGCCAATGAGTTGCTTCATTTTTGCCGTAAGGTTAGAGCTAACAAACATAGGCTGCACATAAGGTATAAACGGGAGCCATTCGGTAACTTTTTAGGTGATGTAATTGAAGATCTACCTTTGGTAAGAATACAGTAAAACCCCGCGACTAAGATCCTAGATTTTTCCAAGTTAGCCTAAGCAGGTTCTTATATAAATGCTAGTTAGCACAAGTTTAGGATATTAGGTTCTTAAATACAGTAGGTTCTTATTTTCTAAAGAGGAAAAAAAATACAATGTAGCTAAGAGTATTTAGTGGCTCAGCTCAATTCCTCAAATAAAATCTGCATACCAAATTAGAAGTTATGTACAAATGAACATAAAAGGAAGAACTGTATTTAATTAATTTGTAATTTTTTCAATACCAATTTTATTTGATTTATACATTAGCATTTACATTGCAGTTGGAGTGATATGGCAGCTATGAGAATTCTGAATGTTGGCTTATCTTATTTGCCCAACTGTACATAATTTTTTCATTTATTTAGGAAAATAAGAAACTGTTTCAGATTTTAGGCTTAACAGATTTTTACATAGAGGGGGCTTAACTGGCAAATTTTAGCTTAACAGGTTCTTAAAACTCAGGTCCTTAGGCGCGGGGTTTTGGTGTATTAACTCAGTTAACTTGTCTCTGCGTGTTCTGAGCTCAGGAATCACGACTGAAAGTGAATATTATTCGAATATTTGTTTATTAAGCTTCCTCTCAGGAGGGAGCTCTTGAACTCAGCCGTTTTCTTATTATCATTACCACAGGTTATGAGTTATGCAATTTGAGAGCTTAACGTAGTCTCGATTGCGTATGCAATCTGTTTGTGCTCCCCATGTCAGTAAACTGATTGCATTAAGAAGTAGGAGAAAACAAGGGACAGCTGAATAAGTTTTAATTTAGAAAACAACTTCGAGGTATCTTGCGGAAAGTTTGTAAGTACAAGTAAGTTTCCCACTCACCACACGTCAAACTTTTTTCCCCCTCAAGTAATTTATGGCAATCAAAGTCCAAGACACACCCCACTCGGCCATACGTTACAGCTTTTGGTCGGAGCTCCCGGTCCAGTTTAACCCCTGCTATTAAATGTATGCTTATTTACCTTAGCGATGAAGTCTTAAAATCGTTTTTGTTACTAGTTCTTTTTTTATACTAAGGACTTGCTTATCGTGCTTTATTCTGTTTTATTATTTATTACTTTATTTCATCCACCTAAAAAAAATGCACTTTATTTGACCGTCAATGTATTTAGCACAAAAGTACTAATTGGGGACACTATTTTTTACGTCTACTACTGGAGACACGACCGCCATGCTACGTGGTCATCCGAGCCACGCGAAGGTCTAGCCTCTTGCAGTGCAAAGGGATTACCTTCATTTCTCAGTTATTTTAAGACCCTGAGTGTTGGTCCAGCCCCAGAATCGAACACGCGACCTCCGGCTCTGGAGCCACAAGCTCTACGGACTGAGCTAACACTGCCGCGATTAGGATCTAGAAGGCGACAATAAATACAATTTTCTCCCTTTTTAAGTTTTGGCCCAGGAAAGTCCTCTGAATTATTACCATGACACAGCTTCTAAGATATGTAACAGAAGCCTTCTGCATGAGATTTATTAAACAAAGAGTGAATTATACGTGTAATTATTAGATCACCCCAAAGAAAGGATGTTGTTTGAAGTGAAGCACTACTAAACTTTGTTCTAGTAGTGGTAGTAGTATGGACTAGGCAACCTCTTACCCAGGCACGTTCTTGCGGATTCGGGAGCGACTGGAGCGATTTTGATTCCGAGCTAGGTATCATGGGAAAGGCGAAGAGAAAAACGTCTCATTTTTATCCCTTACCCTTTCTAGCGTCCTTTGCGTCAATGCTAAACGTTCCCATGGTCTATTGCACGATACACTTTGATGGCTCGCAGTCGTCGCGTTTTCCGTTTTCCAAACATTTGACTGACGCCTAGGAATGGGGTAGCTTACTGGATGTAAGTTGCAGTTTTTAGAGTTCAAAGGCCTTTTATCGACAGTCCTGAGAAGAGTTTTTTATACCGTAACAACACAGGTGTCCCAAGCTCACGTTACAAGAGTGAACGCGAGCGAGTCGGTATCGCGTTGCAAGCGATATACTGAGATCTACGAGCGATAGATATCGTTAAATTTACTTTTTGATCAATAAGCTAAATAGAGGAGATTAGTATTTGATGTATTTCTGTTTGTTTCGGTGCGAATTCATTGATTTAGTTGGCTCTACTTCGCCAGCAAGTCGGTATCGCGTTACTGAAGCGATCGTTGGGACACAGTATGAAAAAAATTAGGTCTGCAAACGATAATACCCTTATATTTTCACCGTTTGATCAATAGATAAATAAAGAAGATCTTCAATAGAAATTTCTTTAATCATTTCAACACTCTGCCTCAGTGAGATGATCTATTTTTGACAATTCTCAAGCCGTTCCACCAGCCTCTTTTTTCATCACCGGTTTAATAAGCCAGTTTCCGTAGTGAGCTCTTGTTTGTGAGAATCAAGGCTTCAAATTTCACAGATGGTTAGCCTGCGAATATAGTCGTTTCTCCTCCGGCGAAGAGCAAGGGGAAACCGGTTGCATTCGCGGGCTTACAGGTGGTTAACTAGGGGCCACATAGCCCTCGCAACTGGCTGTATTGCTGAATTTCAGTGTCACGCCATTCAAAATAGATCAAAATAAAAACTAAAACCGTTCAATAGATAAAGTCCAGAAACTGGGAAATGAAAGGAAGTAAATATGCAAAGACCCTCGCCAAATTTCAGGTCAGAGCAATATTTCGTATACGAGATATCCGAAGAAATGTTTTACCCAAATTTTTAGAGCTTTGTATAGAGACGCCATGCTGGTGCCCATCCGGCTGATTACCAACATGGCGGACGGAAACCAACAGACACATCTGTTACCGAGTTGCGCAGACAAAAACGTAAATTTATTCTTTGAGGAACAATAAAGTTAATACTTTTTCTAATACATCAACTGTTTAGATAGCAAAATTCCCTGAAATAAGTCATTTTTTAAACTACAAGACAGCTCTCTTAGCTGTCATGTAAATGCCGCGTCACACAAAAGCTTAGAAATTCAAGCGTACTCTATCACAAAACCAAGAACCCTTTTGAAGCGAAAATTTGTGCGAAATTTGGATTTCAGCTGCTCTAATACATCGTGAAAGTAAAATCTCGGTAGGATCGATAGTTTTATGGTTTGAATTTTGCGTGACGTCATGTGAAAACCGTGCGCTTAAAGTTTGGCGGCGGAGCTGTGATCCAGAAAAGGGAGTGGGGACGGCGCGTTTATTTCTCGCGGCTCTGCCGCCAAATCTCACTTGACTACTACACAATACGGTCAGCTACGCAGGCTAAGGGCCACAACATATGCAAGGTATTCAAAATGGATCACTTACCTCAAGATAATTATTGATAAAAGACTTTTGCAGTCCCTTGCCGTTTTTTGTTCGTTAAAATAAGTTTGTGACTTTCATGCACTTCTTAATCACAATGCCGTAGAGGTAAAAGCGGCAGAACTTGCTAGCTAAAAAATGCTTAGGACCAAAAAAAGGAATCGGTTCCAACGCAACTCTGCAGGTGAATTGAACTAAACATTTGCTAAAAGGTAAATCTATTGTACAGGAGTTGTTACTGGTGTTAAACTAATAAAACTGACGAAAAACTAGATTAAAAGAGGTGACAGTGTTGTCGTTTTTTTAAGGCTGTTATCTTTCCTGAGCTATTCCTGAGCTATCTTTCCTTCATTTTTGCTGTGCGAAGCACACGAAAACTAAGCAAGCCTCAAGCAGAACAGCATGAAATTAGATACCGTAAACCACGATCTGTTGATATGAGTGCTCTGTGCAAGGACTTAGGGATTCCATTGTTTTGCAAGAAAACATCACTGATCTACCAACGCTAGTCGATAAATACGAAACTGAAATAACAAGAGTACTTGACATCCATTCTCCGGAGAAAAAACGAACGATCACGGCGAGACCAGCTGGCGAGACCCGCTGCTGCCTGGTATAATGGTGACATTGACCAAGAAAAGAGAAAGAGACGGAAATTAGAAAGGCGCTGGTGCAAATAACGCCTGGTTATTGACAGAGAATTATACAAGGAACAATGTAAAGTCGTCCGTCCTCTTATCAAGAAAGCAAAGGAAAACTATCACTCCAACATCATACAAGAAAATAAAGGCAACCAAAAGGTCTTGTTTAACACAGTTACCCGGCTCCCCAACCGTAACACTGAGAAGTGCTACCCAACTGCTCCACCTTCCGACATGTTAGTAAGTAAGTAAGTAAAGCCTTTATTTAAAGAGGGTAGCACCTAATAGCCAAAGGCTAATAAACTTGTGGCCCTCATAAAATACACAACTATTTACAATCTAATAAATATTGTAAGCTAAAACATATAAACATTTAAAATAAAACAAGATTCGATTTTTATATAAAAAAAAACAAAACAACAAAAAAAAATTATTAAATGATAAAATGATGCAAAAGAATCTAGTCTCCTAATTTCAATTGGTGTACTATTCCACAGTCTTGTTGCCGAAACAGCGAAATAGATTTGCTGAGTTCTTTTGCCAAAAGATCGAAGTTGTAAAAAATAATTTATTTGCTTGATATACACCGGTCGCCAATTCTCTTGTGGATGCTCAGGCCTGTAGGGCTGAACTCACTGACACTGAAATATACATTTTTTATTTTTTAGAACTACAATTATTGTAAAGCGCCATTGAGCTCACGGAAATGGCGCTATATAAATTCTTGCATTATTATTCTTGTATTATTATTGTTATATTTAATTAAGTATTTGTTGCTTGTTTTTGTTTTTAATGTCTTAAAATGTTTTTAAAAATTACAAGGTTTTTTTCCACGCGATATGTTAATGGTTATCATCTATGATGAGCCGTAACACTTCAGTTTTCCAAGAGTATGGTAACCTTGATTGGCGCTGTTTCCTGCATCACCAAACCTGAGCTGTTTTACTGGAAGCTTTGTCTTGTCAGTCAGGAGACCGCTGTCTTCACGCCATACATCGTCATTCTTATCACAGTTACAGCCAAGACTGGGGTCTGCGCATGAGTTGGTCATCCCGCATGCGCACTTACCACTGCCAGGTGATGCCCCTCCCCAGTAAGTCATCTTAGAAGAATCACGTGACACCCACCATCCCATTCCACTAATCAATAGCCTTGAATTATAACACCCATACGCAATAATCTGTTCACAGTGTGAAGAGGCCCTTGTGAGACTCGCCAGCTGAGACAGACTCGCTCCAGTGTAATAAATGTCACGCACCTTTGTTCAACCCTCACTGTCGTGACTGATGACTGTCACACCAACACCATTCTTGTCAATCATGTCACAAAATACAGTGAAGGGTGCCAGACCTCCATCGCCATCTGGATCAATGACGTAATTTCCGCTTACTCTGCTGACGTATTTTCTTATCACAGAACAGGAAGCAATCGTAATTGGTTTGATTTTGACTTTAGCCTCTATTGTTTTCACAGCATTAGTTGCCCTACATGTGTAAGAACCTTGCTGTGATTTCTTGACATCAGAAAGAACTAGAGTGCCATTTAGAAGAACTGTTGAGTCCATAGGTAATGAGGTCTTGCTGTCCTTAGTCCAAGTTATTGTAGTTTTCAGGTCGCTCTCGGCCACACACGGCAAATGTACAGTTGAAGCAATGACAGCAGTAACATCTTTAGGAGGGTGGATTTTAAAGCGCAGCGGGGAGAATACCATAAGTTGAGTCCTGTCCGATGATGATCCGAGGATATTCTCTGCCTTACAAACGAATGTTCCTCTGTCCTTTTTTACCACATTGTAGATTGTTAGCGCTTCGTTCATCACCCAATTTCTACCTGTCGGCAAAGTTCCATCGGATTTGGACCACGTGGTATCAGGTTTCGGCCGACCAGTAGCAGTGCAAGTGATAGTGACGTTTTGGTTTTCCTCTGCCAACTTTGTTTTAGAAGACAGCAAGGCCTGAGGAGCAACTGTCGAAAAATTGAGAGATAAAACACCATTAGCCAATCATATAACTAGCCTGTCATATCCCGCTCCAGAACGGGCACTGAACGACAATTCAATTTATCAAACCTTTCTCTCTAAAGTACAAAACTGTTTAAATCGCAATGAATTGTTCCAATTGATTCTTTTACAGCATTCTGTATAGCAAAATACATCAGAATATAAAAGAGCTGGGACCCTTTTTACAGGTCTTGTATGATAGCTTCTATGACTGATCACGAAAGCAGCGCGGTGCTGGCCTCTTACTGGGCACAAAATTATTTAAATAAGACTGCTGCAGGAGCAGAATTTAGGAAAATACAACCCAACTTGCATTGAACTAGAAGTCTCGCAGAGGCGTTGACGCTGCCCAGAACATTTTCAGCTTTGCACTTGTAAACACCCTCGTCTCCAGGTCTAACGTTCTTCACAATCAGCGCACCACTGGATTCTACCACGTGACGTCCCACTGGAAGCGAAGAATTTATCTTACACCACGTGACTAGAGGCGTTGGATTACCGTAGGCTGTACATTTTAAGATGGCTGTCTGACTTTCATTGACTGTGGTTTCAACAGGACGCTGCAGCAGAGATGGAGCCGCGATGGACTGGCCCGGCTCACCTTTTGTGCCTTTCTCACCTGGTGAACCTCGAGGCCCGACGGGACCAGGGTTACCCCGAAGTCCCCCTTTATACCCATTGCTCCTTGAGGCCCTATTGGTCCATGTTTACCCGGAGGTCCCTCAGGCCCGGGTCTCCCTGGGGGACCTGGTCTTCCTTGGATACCAGGCCTTCCTCTTCGTCCTGTCTTACCTTTTGGTCCTTCTTTAGAACAAATTTGGTTCTGTAACAGTCGCAGCTCTTCTTTAATCAGTATTTTTGCATTGGAGGTTGTTTGTGTGGATTTTTTCTGTGATTTAACAGGCGATGTGCGCTTCTGTCTTGATTTGGTGACTTCGGGGCCTTGAAAATATCGAGAGAATCAAAATTTCAATTTCAACCGAAGTTAACGCTAAATCAAAATTGTATTACCCACGAAAGATTGCTTTCTCTCAGTGAAATATATTTGGTTGTCTTCTATAGTAGCTTAACATGGTCCCAGAGGTTTTCCTTGAAATTTTTCTTCGTGAAAGAGAGAGCGTGCCGCGAAACATGAAACATAAAACACAGGGGCACCCAACGCCAAACTGTTTTCAGTGAAATATCTGTTCGGAGAAGCAAACCTTGCCTAGAATTTTCTATTACTTGAGGACGGCTAAAAATTTCTAGATGACCGTTCCATTCATGTGCAATATTGAAAGCTTTTCTAACAAATTCCCAACGATTTTCTGAAGTTTAATTTTCACATTTCAATCTCCAGGTTAGGCTATTTTTCGTAGGAAAAAAGGAAACCTAAAATTTTCAGATTCAAAAATGTGATGAAGAGAGGAATCAGAAAATAAGTACGTTACATCTCATGAACAATTTTCGGAAAAATAATACTGAAGCCCTTTCGAAAGACTCAAGTTCTCCTAGGATAACCGAACAGATACAACTAATTTAATAGCGCCGCTTAGAATGCATTTCTAGAGGTCCAAAAGTAACTCTGGCAGCCTAAAAATCGTTTTTAATGAGTTTTGGAGGAAACCGTCGTTGGGTGCCTTGAAAACACGTTGGTTGAAAAACAAAACTTTGGCATAACTGCTTTTGGTTCAAACATAACCTGATCATTAATCGACATTAACATCCGTTACAAACCTACCTGTTGTCTGCTGTCTTTGACCCCCTAAAAAATGGCTGCCTTTCGTCATTTGCCATTCTTCGTTATTCTGCTGCACTTTTTGAAGAATTTTACTTTCCATCTGATCACAGCATGTTACTGAAGTTGATATCAGCCGATGACGTTCCTGTAATCTGAGTTCCACGTGAATCAGTGCAATACAACATACAACAGACAACAACAAAGCTGACCTGCAACTCAAGCTGTCCACTGTTTGTTTTCTACAAGACCCGTTCTCTTCTTTCCTTGATGGGTTCATTTTTTTGCCGTGACAGCCACTAACGTTAACTGAAAGTTAAGTTTGATTTACTTGTAAACCGAAACCACTCAGCTGGTTCAATAACTCTTTTTTCGAGTGTGATAATAATGAACTATCGCTTTTGGAAGAAAAAAACTTAAACTCGTCTCTGCGTATTCAGGGTCTCAAGCAAAACAGGAAGTAAGTATCAAATTTATTTAAAAAATACTGTAGCATATTTGTCCATCATATCGCCTTTCAGGAGAAATGGTGGATTATGGGTGATCTTAATAACTGACAGAACGTGGGGGCCCGGGGGAACTCCCACATAAAAGTGACGGGGATATTCGTCGTCTCCCTTTTGGGTGCATAAATGCAGATTTCGGTCTCAATTAGGGTGTTTGGAATGGAAAGTCACTATGTCTACTATATTTGCCCATTCAGGTATCGCTTAAAAGAAATTTACAAAAAATGCCCTGACACTGACAGCACAGAAATCTCCTTTGGGGTTTAAGCTTGAGGCACACCCACATTGGTTTCTCAAAGGGGTTTAATTCGAATTTTCCGACGATTATTCCCTTCACGTTTATACAATGTCCTTCGGGCGTGTGGGAAAGAAAACTACATTTTACAGGGGTTGTAATTAATGCATAGCTTATGCATTTCTACAATTAATGTATGGGCTAGGGGTGGTACGGTAGCGAGCTTCCTCTTTTTAATTTGTCTCGTTTGAATATGTGTTACTCTTTGGAATTTAAGTTGTACCAAGAGAGATGGGTTGTATTCCTGAATGGATCTGAACGCTTTCTAACTTATAGAGATTTTTACACGATGAGTCAAATAAACTGAATCCGGGTTAAGGGGGTTTAAGGGTTTTAAGGTTGCGCCATAGCCGCGATTAGTGCTGGTCGAAAGGCTTTCAAAAAACAATATTAACTCCCTTCTCCCATCGTCTTTTGTCGCTATAGTGAACTCCCTCAAAAGTGGATACCGTAGGGACTTCTAGTTAGTGTCCTCGTTAGCTAGAGTCCGTAATAGTGGGAGTTTATTTCAGTCAAACATCTGTCATGATTAATTTTTGCCCGGGATTTAGTTGCTCTCCGTATTATCGGGGTGTCCGTTATAGCAGGGTGTCCGCAAGGCGACAGTTGAGTTTTAAAAAGTGAATTTCTATTTGTCGCTCAGTAAATAATATTGCTGTTTTTAGCTCACGGATGACTTAGTCATGCCATGGGCTTTTGGAGGCACTCGAATGGCACTCGATCACTCACTCACTAACTCACTCGATTCTCATAAATTTATTCATTAAAGTCAGATTAAACACGTTACTCCTACCTCCCTTACTTAGTATTACTTTTTTTCCAAGTGCCTTTTACGTATATGTTTGGAATATTCTAGAGGGTACTAGTAAGGCGAATTTTTTTTCCCGACACATCAATTATAGAGATGGGTTTTGTATAAATAACAATATTTTAAAGAACACTGATAATATCATCTGCAAGAAATGGACTTAGAATTGTTAAAAGGACATTGAAATAATTGAGCGTGGATCATTGTTGTATATTTGGACGAATTGTGCACATTTGTTCCCGATATTGTACTTGATATGGAGAAGATGCGATCAACAGGAGTGTGAAAGAGCTATTGCAGCCTGACGATGGGATTTCGTTCAGCGAAAAGCGAATAAGCCAAAGAGCCTTATAATCACTGCAAAAAAACTGTCCTCGAATTGTTAAAGCGACATTGAGGAGTATCTATTGAGGTTTATTCAGTTATTTGGACGAATCCGTTCGACCATTTGTCTTGGTATGCAAACAGGGAATGAATTAATGTTGTGTCAGCTAGAACCACAAGTTTTAGAACCAACAAGCGTTACGCTATTTTGCTTGAATTCTTAGGGGATCTTTGCCTTAAAGTAGGCTTTTGTTTGTCGGTGATTCCATTTAGCAGTGCTATTAATGTAATTTCTACGAGAAATGCTGCGCTGGTATAAACAAGTCTCTGGCGAAAGGCAATCGGATACTTCGACTGCGTTTAAATTACTTGGCTAGGTCAGAGCACGTGCTGCTTTGAGCTTAATCCGTTTTACATGTATTAAAATAATTTTTAGCTCGTGTTTATCAAAAGCGCGTTCTGAAGCAGTTCAATTTAGCCATAAACGCCTGTCTTCTGTATTTAATATAGCTCGTACTGTGTATACTAACCGTTACGTACTCATCATGGTTTAAATAAAACTCATGTATGTTAAACTTGGCTATTTTACAAGAAAGTGCACTGTCGTTCGGAAATTTGACAATCACATGAGAAAGCAAATTCTTTTACAAACAAAAAGCGTCAATAATTGCTTTTAAAAGTGATCTTTGCTTTGTAACTAGAAATGCTGCGCTGATAAAAAGTTTCTAGAATATTCAGGTACACAAGCAATCGGATGCTTCGAGTCACGCTGTATTTTGGCAACTCCGTACACCATTAACCGTTCAAAAAGATTTATATGTTTTTCTTTGATTATTGAACTGTCTTTTCTACACTAATTCAATTCATCCATGAGCTCGCTCCTAGGAGCCTTTGATTACACGTGGTTTTTGTACCAATTAGCCTGTGTCGCAGACGTAATTTAACCACGGTAAGTAACGTTTGCGAAGCAGCGCCGATATCGTTGTTCTGGGCCGCTAACGCCCTCAACGAACTACCGGAAGTGCGTTTCGAATTTCCTTTCATTTTGATTGGCAAATCGACAATTTAACAATTAGTTCATGCGTCAGCGTGCGTATGTCGAGATATTGAGCACGCGGGAAGTTTGGAGAGCACGAAAGAGGCGTAAGAGTTGCACGAGGCGCAGCCGAGTGCAACTCTAGCCTCTTGAGTGCTCTCCAAACTTCCCAAGTGCTCAATATCTCGACATACGCACAGCTGCAGCATGAACTAATTGTTTTATAACATTATCAAAGCGATCAATGCAGCAGTTAACTGAAAATTTTATTATTGAAGGGCGCGCTCAAAGCAGTACGCGTCAATGTTTACGTGAATATATCTTTTTTCCTCACAGTTAATCTTATGTTTTTATCCTGAAACTGAGAGAAAGTGTACTCTAAAATGATTGTAAAATCCATATTTAGGTGTCGGAAAACTATTAATTTCCCGAAAAATTGTTATTGAGAGAAAACAACTTTGCAAAGAATGAGCTCACGCCATAGCCCGCACAGCTCGCGGAGATGACAACAACAACAACAACACTCACCTCTTTTCCTTACTATCGGTTAACAAATTCAAACGTTTCCTCTTAAATTTCTTTACAAAACACATGGTAAACGCTTCATTGTCTATTGCTGAGTTATGGATTCACTCAGGAGACTCAGGATTGCTAAGCTCACAACAACTCGAGGAATTACGAATAGT